GCATGCAACGTTGCATGCATTGGCCGCTGAAAAAAAAAATAGAAAAGTGGAAAAATGCGCGTCATGGATTTTTAAGTAGTACGCACAGTGGGCCGAGTTTGGTCAAAATTGTGTTAAAAAATTGATAACTGAACGTTGCGAGGGTGGGTATTAAGGAAGCTGGATTTTGAAGTGGCAACTAAAGTCACTATGTGGTTCGTAGTTAAGCTAACCTTCGCTAGGTCCAAATTTTTACTTTTTTGGGATTATGGGAAGTTCGAAAATTTGGGTTGTAGAAGCCTTAACTCAAAGTATATAGATCACCTTTTCTGGAAATAATTTAGTCAAAAAAACCAGGACCAGCATGAATATCTCAGGCATTTAAAACAAAAAAAGGCTCGATGATCTAATATCTCAACCGGTTCAAAAGTTAAAACATCAAAAGCAAGTGAAGACATCCAAAACTACATCATCGGTGCGAGAGAGAATTCCACATACTTTCAATATCTTCAATTTCATAATCTTCTACAAATACTCAGTAAAAATTATTGAGAAACCTAGGATATAAGTAGAACCTGTGCTTAATGTGGTCTCCAGTAGAAACAATCACAGTTTTGATTTTTTTTATAATATTTTTAAGTTTAAGTCTCTCTTGAGAATGGCTCTGTTTCAGTCTGTAATCATTAAGTACGCTTAAGCTCCACTAAATAACCTCAAGACCTTCGAATGTCGCTACACAAATCAACCCACAATACTCAATGTTCTCTAAATCCTCTAATCCGTACAAATTGACGCAGAAAACTCCAGTAAATATAATATTCTAAAAACCATCTTACCCTCCCACACAAATTGACCCCCAAAACTCCACTTACCAGAGCAAGTCTTTTAATACCAAAACTGTTTTCTAGTTTGATCCTTCCACCAGAATGAGTTCTAGAGCAATTTACCAACCAATTTTTAATAAGACAACACTGTTCTTGGCAGTTATCTCTAATATGAAGGCAAATAGGCAAACACTAAACGTTGCATGTTCAGATAAGAAATGTTTGAGCTTCTTACCCAGCGAAACTCTGGTATCCAAATAAATACAGCAGAGTGCATACGCAGGTAGAAAAACGAGTGCAAGTCATCGGAGTCTAGAAGTAGAAGTTGTTGAAAGGGCACTTAATTACTTACACAAAAAAAAAAGAAAAATTGGATCGTTTAACAGCGTAATTGGAGAAGAGCTTAAGAATTTCTTGGAAGTAAACTTCATTGCATGCACAGGTTTCAGCTGACAAGATATGCTGAGTAATCAAGATGGTTAAAAAAATATTTTATATCAGAAACTAAGCGCGACAATGGCACGTGATAAGTTCGTTTATAGATCATATGATTTATAGAGAGATCCCTTAGTAATTGGAAGAAAAAAAATTGCAATCAAAGATTACAATGGAAATCTATAAAAAAATTAGTATTGTTATGAAGGTAATATGAAGATTTATTGGTAAAATTCAAGTAGAAGTAGATAACGGTGCCCGGGCTTTCAACTCCACTGAAACTATTAACTCAAACTGCCTTCAGTCAAAGTTAACTAGAGATAGATCTAATGACTAACCCAGTGTTATCACAATGGGTTCCTAACATTGTGATACCACCTGCACTTAAATCCCCTCAGTCTATCTATACTACCTCCTTTCTAAATCACTCAGAGCTTCTGATAAAGTTCATCATTATGAAAAGTTTTCTTCGTAAAACCGTCGAAACATCGTCAAGAAACCCTACAAAGTTAAGCAAGAAGAGAGCGAAAGATTATAGATACCTCCAACAAAAACCATGGAATAAAAACTGAATGCAGTGAAAGGCGAAAGCTGTGTTGATAATAAGTTCTTAAGTCCAAAAGAGTCGAAAATATTTTCAAAAAATTTTCCGGAAAATAATGTCAATTTGAGACCAAGATTCTTTTACAAAACTTGTCAGAAATCTATTTGTTCCAAAAAAGTCAGATACGACAGCTGGAAGTCCCATGCTTCTTTATTTAAATAAAGAACAGGTTCAAGAATGTCGTCCAGCAAGCTTTAAGTCATCGTAATCTGTCAAACTAATTAATTTTTTAGCAAATTCTGAATAATCTTGGAGCTAACCTTTAATTTAGTTTAAAGAAAATTCTCTGAAACTTCTACCAACCGAACCGAAAATAACTATTTTTTCTGAAATTTAGTCAAAGTTCGCAGAGTGGCTTAATGTAAGTCGCATTCCACACAAAAGGTGCATATGTCTTCTAAAAGTTCTTTTAAAACTTAATTATATGTCTTATGGGTGATGATAGCTGGTTTCTTATAAGTCATGTTAGATTTGTCCATTTGCCTAAGATTTTTTTTTGGCTAAGATTTAGGAGCATTCTGTCGAATTTTCCGACTAAGTCGGGTTCTTCGAAATGCAAGCTTGGGTTCTATAGATTTTTATTTCTAATAATTTCGCAATATCTAATATTACACTCACCGAAAATTTACCGAATGAATCACTCGCTGCATTCCCATCAAATAACCAAGTAGTTCTCGTAGAGATTGTAGGTTAGGTTTTAAGTAGTGAAAAATTCTCTCCAATTTTTTTTTTACTATTTACATCAGAAATGAATAGCAACAATAATAATTTGAAATATCCTACTGATCTGGCCACACCACTATACAAATTTGTATAAACTTTCACCAAGGGTTGCTTTTCAAAATTGTCCCGTTAGCATCTGCTGCCATTCGATGCCGGCGTTCGCTTGCTTAACGTATCAAAATTTTACTATAAATAATTGCAGTTTATAACTCTTTGCTTCAGCATCTAAAGTAACGACATTGTTGTTTGTGTATTCCCTATTTATGCGTGTGATTTTTATTTAATTTAAAGTTTTTATTAATTAAATTTTTTTTTCTCTAGAAACAAAAAACAAAATAAATTTTGCGCACACATTTATATATGCACATACATTTATCTACTCATAAGTAAATGGTATACTCCAATACATGTGTATATACATTTCTAAAAGCCAAATCGACAATGTCTCATTTCTCTTTAACTACCTTTTACTAGACACAGTACAGTTATATAATTTTAGTCAAATGCCCGTAAGCTTAATTCTTCTTTTCATCTTTACGTTAATTAATTATATATATCTTTATTTGGTATATGTATATATGCCACTTTAGTATGTACTTCCTATGTAAAACTATATTTACCATAAGACTTGGTGATCAGTACTTGTGTGTGTGTGTGTGTATGTTTGCTTGTTTATGTGTATGTTCGTAGCTCGAAAAACCAGTAAAACCATGGACCGACTTCTCGCAAAAAATTCGCGCAAATGCAAATAATTATGCATTAATATATCTATTCATATATGAATATTCTATAAAAAAAAAAATTACTTAAGCCGCATTAAAAGCCAAATTTTGTGTACCAATTCTATATTATTAAAATTTTAAAAGCACTAGAAATATATCTAAA